GGCTGCTAAAAGAAAGAAAGAACACAGTTCCCTCTATTTTTTTATTTCTTTTTTTTTTAGTAACATGAGGAAATTTTTTCCAAAGAGGAACATAGATGCTCATATGTTTTTGAGTAACTTTAAGATGAAACTTCCTATTTTCATACTCCATTTGATCTTAGCAGATGTTCATTGGACTTGCCTCACTACTTTATTGTTTAAAGACCATGATAAACTTCTTATACTTAACTATAGATGGTTCAATACTATGTTTTATAGATTCCTAAAGCATTTTAGGCAAAGCATTATGGCCAGATTGCTTGTGTGATGTTTTATACACTGACTGTATCTTACAATATCTTGGCCGACTGAGTCTGCCTAGAGTAAATTAGCCTGGAGTCATTTTACTTAATTCTCTGCAAATGCTTCTTTACATATATAGATATTAAAATATGAAAAAATAGTCATCTTTTAAAATTAAATGAGTGTAAGGTAAATACAATTTCCAAAGGGTCTCTAATGGTTTTTCGTGCAATACTGTTCATCTTAATGGCCACAGGAGGGGAAAACATTGTGTCTGTTTTCAGGGTGTTGGACAAGTCCTATTCTCCTGAATGGTTTCAGAGACCTGATGGTAGTTCAGATAGGTCTCCTTGTTTTTTTATCAGGGCAGAAATGATACTTGAAAGTAGGCTGTTTCTGCTTGAAACATGGAGTAAGTGAAGGGGCCTCCTCAGCTTTTGAAATTCTTATCAATCCACCCTTCTTAATTCCAAGAAAAGCACCTCACTACAATACCCTTCATGATTCCTAGATGTCTGGAGAAGCAGTACGTCCACCTAGAGCCTGTTTTCTTGTGAGCTGGCTTCAGAAGCATTGTTTTTGATATTACAGTTTATCCTACAAAGTTTTTGATTAAGTTTTTGTTCTTGATGATTCATAAGCCATCTGGCCTGAGTTGCACAGTGAATGTCTAAGTCCTCCTTTAAGCCTGATTTCTTTTATGTTAACTAGTGTTTGTGCATACTGGTCGTGAGGCCTTATTGTCAGCCCTGGGGGAAACTTTCTGGATGAAAATGTTGCAGGTGTGGTAGTAAAGGCCTATGAAATCCTTCAGCATGAAGGGTGTTTTTCAAGTTAAGGTGCTGTAGAAAGAATGAGAAAATTAGCCTTGGTTTATGGTCAATAATTTGATTGAGGATGTGTGTTCAGGAGAGGTGAAGTTCTGCTTTTTACTTTAGAACTGGCACTTCTGTTTAAAATACAGACTCTTGTTGGCTATGTATCCCTTATCAGGAAATAAGGTATTACTGTGTATAATGCAGATATTGAGATAAGTGGAAACTATAAAGAAATGGCCTTGCAGTTGAGACCAGCTGCTCTGGAAGGAGGACAGTGCAGGGTAGTGAAGGTGTTTACCTGTACCATCTGTCTCTGTCTAAACCTGATAGCATTTTCCAAATCTCCTTCCCTTCAGTTACCCCACTGGTTGCTGTTGAAATTGCTTCTGTGCAGGAATATAGCATTGTTGCTGACTTTTGCTTCTTGGTGCTGGCCATGCACTGGGGAGAGAGAAAGAGGAAAGCTCTCCCTTTTAATGAAGTTACATTGAAATTGGAAGAGTTATTGACTTTTTTTTATCCTACTTTGTTATTTCTCTGATATAAAAGGTTTTTGTGTTTGAGGATGATATGAATGCTATTTTTCTGTGAAATTTTTGCTGCTAGTCCTAGAAGCACCAACACTCTGCACATGTGTGCACATGTTTATTTTTGTACATAACTGGATAAGGTCCTTGATTTCAAGGTTCATGAAGGAAAGAATTGGCACAAATATCCCTATGTTAGTCACTTAAGCTTATGTGTCACTACCATTTATTGTCTAAATTACATTGCTGATGGATTGAGATGAAAATGTTTTCTTAGTGAAGGCAGATACTGTAGTTTAGATTTACTGCAATATTAATACTTTAAAAAAAAAGCATATGCCCTCTATGGTATATTACATTAGCTGGCCACTCTGTGCCCCTCAAAAGCACTTCATAATCTATAGTTTCTAAATTTTCCCATGATGTGTAGTCAAGATAGAATGCAGTAATATTGATGTGGTATCCTGAACTTATTATGATCGGCATATTGCATCAGAAGTAATGTGACCTGTTTGAAGTAAGGAAATGTAAACAACGCTTTTGTTGGTAGTTCATGTGTAGTATACACAATGATTTATTTTTCTTTAAGGAAAACATCTATTTTAACCTAAAATAAGGAAACTTTGGAAGCTAGAGAAAGCAGCAGGAAAGAAGACATTGCTTAATAGGAAAAAAAGTTGACCTAAATTTATTTCTTGTTTAAAAGGATTTTCAGGTGTTCCCCTCAGCTGAGTTTTCCATTTTCTGTTTTGTGTTGGTTCAGATGACTTATGCAGTTGCTGCTGTATGCAGGAAAACCCAGACAGAGCCCTTCAGCCCTGAGAGAAATCTGGATTACTTGACTATTCTCAGTTTATCCCACTTGTGTCATTTTGGTCATGGTCAAAAGTGGATGGAAGAGTTCAGTGCTGCTCTCTTAAAAGAACTACAGTGATATTGGTTTTGGCTTGACATATATTGAAACTGTTCTTACTGTTGTAAATATGAGCTTGGGTTTTGGGAAGTGGACTCTGCTTTTTGGTGCTTAGTTTATATCCATTTTCTTTGTCAGTGAGGAAAATTACTTCCTGTAACGAACAGTGTATGATTCTGTGAAAGAAGGCAGTGTAACTTTGATGCTTCAAAGAACTGGATCAGCATCTGTGATTGCCAACATAAAAAGAAATAGTACCAAAACTGAGATTTGTTTATTTATGGTAAAATTTATTTTCCCTGTGCTCTGAATGATTTTTTTTCATGTTTAGGATTTTTTTTTATGTTGGGCTGTAACTCATGAGGCCCATCCCCACTGAATGTCTTTGGGGGAGAATGGATTATCTCCTTTTGTGACTTTAATCTAAAATTTAAGATGCATCAATATGGGGAAGTCAATGGTAGTACAGGAACTGAGAATATAGTACTCTTAATTAATTCTTTGCTTTACTGTCCTTATTCTAAAATAAGTGTAGAATTCAATCTAAAAATAAAAATCAGCACTTGTTGGGAAGAAAGCTCCATTAGACTAGAATATCCACAGGATTAAATCTATAAGGGAAAGAAAACTGCTCTAAAGAAGCCTGAATTATTTGGTTTTAGATTTTACTCTCCATTCATGTTATGTTGTTTTTGAATGTACATTATTGGAACATAGAGCACTAGGAAATCACAGTCAGACTGGAAAGGCATTTCCATTCAGTAGGTTTCTCTGAGAAATGCTATGAAAACCTTTCGCCAGCTGGTTCGTGTGGAAAGGCCCAAGTCTGGGAGTTTATTTTGTTGTTCTTTTTTAAAGGGGAGTTACCTAGAAGGTTTGCCTTTCTGAAGGGCTTTAGAATTAGATTGCAAGAACAGATTTTGATTTTTGAACAAATTCTCTCAATTAACCATAATTTCAGCTTCATCTGAATGCTTGCCTGGGGTCTTAAAACATCTTAAAAATATGTATAATTATGCTGATACAGTTGCTCATATGGTTGCTGTTATGTCTTTGTAAAAGTGTCTTGATGTTGATAGGAGTATTAATCCGTAAGGAATGGAATAAATTCTGATGTGTGGCACCCTTACAGTGATGTATTGGTCATTCAAAGGCCATTAACTGTTGTAAACTTTTCAATGTGAGGGATGTCCTACCTAAAGAAATAAAGTCTGAGCCATCCTTCCTCATTGCTCTTGCAACAGCAACCTCAACCTAGTTGTATAAGGTACTGAGTGTCTTGCAGCTTGTGTGGCAGCTGCCCAAGGGGCCAGCCCTCTGCACATCCCTGTGCTCAGCATGTGTGTGCTTCTCTGCCTCTGGGAAGGTCTGGGGCTAACGCCTTCATCTCCCTGACCCTGGAGTGTGACTCATCTGTAGCTCTCCTTGGCCATGCTCATGCTAAGCTCCATAAAATGATGAGCAAGATTTTTTTCCGCACATGCCACAATGCTCTTTACAGCAACAGCTATGTGATTGTATGCTAATTGTTGTCCTCTGCTGGGAAGCTGGTGTGGCTTTTGCCACCAAAGCTATTTTAGTGCAGCTTCTGCATTTTTTTGACAGTCAAAATGAAGATTTCATCTTCATTGCAATCTGTTTTTCTGCCTGTTTTAGAGCGGATAGCGTAGTGTGTTTGTATTTAATAATTTTTGTAGTTTAAAGCCTGAGTCAGTAAAGGCCAAGTTTTCTGCATGCATCATGCTACTGGTGTATGGCAAGGGATTCTCAGTCTCATCTCCCCTCTCTGCTCTCCCCTGTGCATGTACAGCAATAACAGTGTTGGGTGCTTACTGGATGCAAGGGAAAACAACTTCTCTTACCGAGGTGAAATTCGGGCTGAGCTGTAGCAACACACAGTTACTGGCTGTGGTTAGGCTATGTGAAGTAGATTTAACATCTCTGCCTGAGACCAGAGAGGTTATTGTGGAAATCCTCCCGTGGTGATCCCAGCAAAGGCTGTGGGTTAGCCCTGAGATGAAGCCTGCCCTCTAAGACAAAATTAAGGCATGCAGTAGACTATTACAACCTCCTTTGTGCTGCTTTTACGGGTGCTTCAGGCTTCTCTGGTCAGTCCAGCTCTTCTGACCAGGGTAAACTCTCTAAATATGTTTTGCTTTACTGTCTGTTGCTGTCTAGTTTTGCCCAGTATAGCAGAATCCTAACTGTAATGCCTGTAAGTCTTGAAAGTGCCTATGTATGCATGGAAAAGGCAAATTATGCATGAAATGTATAGTGTTGCTGTGTTTGAACAATGCAATCTGTAGGTGGCTAAAGGGCTAACTAAATTGCAGGCATAATGAAAGCTCTGTGGTATTTAGTATATGTTCTGTCAGCATTAAACAGTCACCTTGTAAATATATGTTAATTTTGAAGGTGTAACTGACCTTTTTAATATTAATTGAAATGTCTCGTGTTTAGAGGTTGGCGCTATCCTAGAAGAGACAGAAGCCTGTGACTGGTGGAGCCTGGGTGCCATTCTTTTTGAACTCCTCACTGGGAAGGTAGGGCTGGGGCAAGTTACTTGATAAAACTGACTTTGTGGCCAGTAGTTTCTCACAATTGGTGTGCCCAGTTGTGATTTCCTTGCTGGTCTTTATCTGATGTGCTTTGCCAGCCTGAGTACTTGCAATTTGCTTAGTCTGAATGGGACCAGAGAAGCAAAGCATGCTCGAGCTTCAGTAGAACAACTTGATCAAGCCATTTCAAACTCAGGACTGAAAAATTAACCAAACTCATCCTGTCCTCTTAACCACAGTGAAATCAAAGTTCTCTAACATTCCGTCTGCATATATACAAAACTTTTGCCCTAATAGTTTCAATATTATTTACTGGGACTGTGTAGAAGCCATATGTTGTGTTACACAGTAATTCAGTGTTTTGAGACAAAGAATGCTCAACCAGATCAAACATTGGTTGACAGTTCTGCACAAAGAAAACAAAGTCCACCAAGTTCCCAGGCTCTTCAAGTCTGAGCAATGAAACACAAGCTCTAAGGCATAAATGTTCGAGAGCACCTGTAGACATTCCTTCCAAAATCAGTACTTTGTACTAGGAAGCACTGAAGTTTTAGCTGTGTGTGTTAATTTCTATGTATACTAGGAGATAATTAAACACTACAATTTTAAATGAATAAATGCATCTGCCTGCTTTGATTTATTTTTCTTTCTTTTTTTCTTTTTTTCTTTTCTGCTCCAGTCTCTGGTTGAGTGCCATCCATCAGGTATAAACACTCACACTTCTCTGAGTATACCAGACCATGTATCAAAGGAGGCCAGATCACTGATTCAGCAGGTAAGAGGTGAAAATTTGTTTTCTATATATACACATGTTGATGGGACAAATACTTACCTAACTGAGTTGTTCTGGTGAAGTAAATGTAAAAGCAGAAAGCTGCTGATAGAAACATGGATGACTCTTTTGTCAGCATGGAGGAGTGTTGCCCAGTTGTCTTGTTGCATCTGGAAGCTTTGTCTTCTGCTGCCAGGCGTGTCTGTAGAACACTAGAGCGCTTGGCCATTTCTTCGAAGAATGAGTTTGGCAAATGCTGAGTGCTTTGGAAGCACCTGCTGGTGATGCATGAACATTTTAGGATCTCTGCCCTAAATGTTCATGGAAACATTTGTTAATTAAACTAAAAAAATGTTGATGCCAATTCAGCAAGATAGCTCTAAGTACTATGAAAGCTGTAACACACTGATTAGAAGTTATGACCTTGCTGTGGTTGAAAACCTGTAGCTGTCCTCCAGGAAACCTCCTGGATGCCATTTGTTAAGAAAAAGTACTTTAAATTGTGAATACAATGACTTTTGTGGCCAGAAGACCACTGGTAGGTTGGACAAAAGACAGCATAGGAAACCATTAAATACAGACAAACTTCCAGACCGATACAGACAAACTTCAGACTGATACAGCATTTTCAAACTAACAGGAATAGTATTGTCTGATGGTTTGGTTTACTCTTAGCTTTAGTTAGGAATGATTGAACTTGTAGTGCTGGGCCTTGAAGTTCAGGTCGTGCAGTCTTCCTTGTAGTTACTGTTGACGTAACTGAGGAAGTGGTGCATAGATCTGACCTGTTCCACTTGAGAAGAATAAGGGATATATATGAACTGTGGTGTTCAGCTTTGAATAGTGTCTTGGTAGTGAATGCATAAATAATGACATCACTTAGATGTAGTTTTGAACAGAGCAGAGTGGAAAAAAGTAGTTCTTGAAGGAAACAAAGGAAAGATACTTTGGAGATTCGGTGACTCAAAAGACCCAGTGACAGATTGATTTCTGTGCCATTACTATGAGATGATTCGTGAAAATGGAACTAGGTGTTTGGACACCACCTACTTTGACTAGGTGACATGAAGATGCTGAATGTGAAAGCATGTGTCTGTGTGTTTTTGGCAAAGTTAGAAAGGGAAATGACTGAAGAAAAATCCCATTTTTATATAATCTGCATTTATGCTGATGGATGGTAGCAAATTGCTACCCTCATCCACAGGTGCTGTAGGACACAAGTGGCTGAGGGAAAGCAAAGTCACACTTGATGAAGGGAATTCCTCCCATTAAGACCAGAAGGCAAATGAAGTTGTCCAGTCCACTTTTCCCTGCCAGTGTAGGATTGTTTTTCAGTGTAGGCTAATGTGTTCCCTATTTTCACATACGCCAGTGTCTCTTTTGCCACTTGGGGTTTAAGTGGCATAGTCACCCCTGTACTCAAGCCTTCCAGTGTAGGGTGGTGACTTATCTGGTGGAGGCTTGGCTTATATGAAGCAATAAATCACATTTTTGTTGTGTGACTATCCAAGGAAGCTGCCATTCATTGTTGAGGAAGCCTTGTCAGGAAAAGGAAGAGAGCTCTCTTGGCATGGATAGCAATTTGTCATTGCGACTTTCCTTCCCCCCACTGCCAAGGGTAAACAGGTCAAAACGTCACAGAATAACTCTCTGGGATCAATGTTCATCTATACAGAAAACTGTCAGGTGTTGTCTCCTGCTGTGGCTTCCAGTCCAGGTGACTTCATTGTAAACACCTCCTTCATTTAGTCAGCATCTAAGAAAACAGAGATCTGTTTATCTCTGCTGAAAGATGAAGTTGTTTTTTTGATGTTGGTTTGGTATTTTGCACCCAGTGTTTTTTCAGGCACCTTTAGGCTTTACTACCAACAAAACATGCAATGTGACTTTTCAGTAGGTATCTGTTACAGTTCGTGTTGAATTTGTTTTCTAAGATTAAAGTTCTTGTGGAAGGACAAACTCCAGAAAAGAAGTGACCATGCTTACTTTCTCTGTGCTGGTGCTGATTGTATTTCAGCAGAAGGCAGAGACACCATGGCTGCATGTGTGTGTGCTGGCTTGTGGGAGATACCAGAGCAGCACTATTAACTGTCACCCAGCTACCTTTATTATGTGACATTATGACTGCAAATAGCAGAGCCATCTTAAAATGTGTAAATTCCTATGTTTATGGATGTAGACTCACTTAGATGTTGACTGCATTAAGATATGAATACACGTTTTTCTAAGTGACAACTGGGAGAAGTTATCCTATTAGATGTTGCAGAAAAAGCAAGAAATCATGCCTTTGTAGTGGCTGTAATTGAATAGAGTATAAACAGTTCTCTAAAACTGCAAAATATTTTTGTGTGTCTTTATTAGTCTCTTTGGAGTTTACCTTTGCATTCCCTTTTATATGGATCGGTATCTTTAAACAGATGTAAATATTGTGATTTCTTTTTCACATGAATTCAGCATGTGATGTACAACTAAAAAGCAAACGAGGTGCTGAATTTCAGGAAATTTCCATGAAGCCATTAGGCTGTTTTGTTTCTTTCACTGGGGTTTTGATTTTTCAGTTTTAGGCCATTTGTAGGACTCTTTAAAACTTTTTTTTTTTTTTTTTTTTTTTTTTTTTTTTTTTTTTATTAGGAAATAGCAAACGGGCTGTGATATCCTGGTCTTTTAGGACCAACTCACAATTTGTGAAACGGAAAGTTACAGACCACTATCCCTGATGTAGCTGTAACGCAGTGGTGTGAGCAAAGGTTAACATGAAGCAAACGCAGTGTCCAGAGTTCTACTGATGCAAGCTCTGGCTGCTGCTGTCTCTTTTTAAAATGAGGTTACACTTAAAATGAAGTCCCAGTGTGCAGTGCTTCAGGGAATTGCATGCTGTGATCAGTAGTCTCTGAAGACTGTAACACTGAGACTCAAGGAAAGGAGAGTCGTCTTCCATTTACTGGATTTTAGGAATTTCAAGTATGCTTTTGCACTCTTGAAAGTAATTCATATAGCAGGAAAACCGTAGGATGTCCCTTACCTTAGACCTTTCTGGAACTTTTAAGCAGTTGTTTTTGTTCTTACTCACTGAATCATATATATTTTCCTTTTATATCTAGCTTTTGCAGTTTAATCCCGCGGAGCGTCTTGGTGCTGGTGTTGCTGGTGTTGAAGACATCAAATCTCATCCATTTTTTGCCCTTATAGAATGGGCAGATCTGCAGAGATGAGAGGTGTGTGCCCTCTGAAGAAACTCAGGTCAGCTGGACAAGTTTCTCTGACACAGAAGCACCCTGACATGCTTCCTTTGGATGTCTTACACCATTTGGACATGATGGCTAAAGGACACTGGAGCAACCGGGCCCAAAGTGAACACTTTTAACAGGAATCACTGGTTGTACAGGGTGCTAGCTTACTTTTACAACAACTGATTGCTACATATGTGTAAGTCCTCTCATCAAAGGGAGTTTTGTAAGATGACTCCTGGGCAGCATGTTTAGCACTTCTAGCGTGTCGGCTGAGTAGAAAGAGGAATGCACTCCTGGTGCTTTGTCTGATGATGGAAGTGTCTATAAACTGTGCCAGTTGAAAGTATTTTTTTATAATGTCAATAGACCATTTCCCTATGCTAAGTGCAGCTCTTGGGGGGGTGGGAGGGAGAGGAAGGAGCAAATAATTTATTAATGGTATATGCTGAATAAAATACTATAATGCTTTATGCAAAAGTTGACACATTAAAAATAATATATCCATTAAAAATTAAGAAAGCTGTTGCATAATACTGTGGAATGTGTCTTGAAAATGGCATATCATTTCCCACTCTGGAAAGAGCATATAAAAGGCAAATAATGCTGTCAAATGTTGTACTTTGTTGGCTGGCAATGTCTGCTTAAAACTTTTGACTCTGTTGTATTTGATGAGCTACATGTTAAAGTCACAACAGAAAGGGAAATCTTCTTTTCCTCAGCCAGATAAACACTGCTTTAGCACTCTAATAAGGAGCAAGAAAACATAATGCTAAATAAATGTATAGATAAAAAAGGAAAAACTCTTCTCTCATGACTGCAGCCACTGCTTTATCACTTAATGAACTTTACTTCCTCTAAGTGTCCTATTTTTAGCTGCTACTTCAGGAAAAAACCTTTCTGCTCGTGCTCTTGTGCTTGAGGAAGCTTCTGAACGAACTCCCCTGTTTGTTTGTTAATAGTTTTAATAAATCAAAGAAAGCCTTCACCCACTCGGCTGCTTGAGCAGGAAGAAGCCTGGGATTTGCTCATGCCAAATGACTAAGTGACATCTCTGAGCAAACCCTAGTGGGTAAGACTTGGGCTTGAGCCAATTAGCTGACCTGTTTGTTTGTTAGAAAGGTCTGGAGAATGGGAGAAGAATATAAGACATGCAGAATGTTTTGCTGAGCGCTGCTGTTGCTGCTAAGCAGCCAAGCTTGTATGGGTTCCTGATGTACAAATCCTGCACGCAGCAATGCCTGTACAGATTATGGATCTGTGGGGTTTTTCCTAAATGTTCTCTTTGCTCACACTCTTTTTTTTTTTTTTTTTTGCCTTTTTCTTCTTCTCCCCAGCTTTATCCGGAGAACAAAGGGCAAATTCCTCTGGGAAAGTGAGGTGACAGCAATGATTATTGAATTTACAACTCAAAAAAAAAAAACAAGTATCTCTCCATTTGTATTTTAGCAGTGTATTTTATGGGCACTCCCAAAAGTGCATCTGCACAGTCTCCATCTGTTAGACACCAGGTCGGTGTATTCAAACAAAGTGGAAAAGGAAAACGCTTCACTTAAACAAAGGAAATCTGGAAACTTTTTTTTTCCTTTTGAAATTATTCCACTCCCCTCTTTTTTTTCCTTTTCTTCCCTTTCTTGTGATCACCAGGCCAGCAGAGGGGCTGTCACAACACTGCAGGTTGTAACCAGGTCACTAGTATCACTGCCTACGATGTGCCGTCCAAGATTACATCACTTTCAGAAACTGTGTTTCAACCTACCACCCTTTGGCTTCATAACAGGAACTCCCTCAGGTGAGCCACAGGAACAACTTCCTGCACTGAGTGGGTCGGAAATCTCTAATGCAGAGACCAAGCTGATCCGGAGCTTCCTTCCAGCACTGCCCTGGCTGTGACTTTGGAGAGGGCTAGTTGCTCAAGGGAAGCCTCCCTCCCCTTAGCCACCTGCCTCCATCCCTGGGGCTCTCTAGCCCAGCCACCAGATAATGTTGCCCATGTAGGTCTTTGCATCATTGCATTTGCCTGGTGATAACTGAAAAAAAAAAAAGGTATTTTCCATGTTACTTTGAAATGCTCTCTGGCTCAGGTTGTGCTGGTTGCAAGCAAAGGTAGGATAAGATAGCACAGGAACATGGGCTGGTTTCTGTGGGCAGCAGAAGGAAAACCTGTTCTAGCACAAACCAGATGATCAGTCACTCTCACTGCAAAGCATTCGGTTTAGTTAATGGCACCAAAATACTTCCTTTTCAATTGTGTTAGTAGTGAAGAAATCTAGATCACAGAGAGTGCAAGGAATAGGGCAATTGGCAAGATGACTTGCCAGAAATGAGCCTTTGAGATGCTACAGGTTTTTATAACATTAGCACTGACTCAGATAATGGTTTTGACAAGGGAAGCACGGGCTGGAGTGAATTGCACAAAACCAATCCTGCTTCTCTCTCTGTTTTTTCCTTGAACATATATTATGTTGTATTGGTGTTTACATGTATTCCCTTAATAAACAAAACCTTTCAAGCCTAATTCAGACCTCTCGTTTCTGAACTTTTTAGTTCCTGAAGACTGACCTTCTTACCTGATCAATGCTTTTTGTCCTTGGCTTTAATGACTTGAAATGTTCTAGATACCTTCTTTTTGGTGCATTTTATGAAGGCCTGTGGTGTACATCTCCATTTTGCTGACTGTTCATTCCCACTTCCTTCTGTCACACTTAATAGCAAAACAAATCAGTGCCTTTTTTTACACAGGAATTAGTGACACTCTATGTAAAACACAGTAAAATAAAGCTGTAGATTTTCCTATGCTTCTGTGGGTGTTCAGGTAAGGCAGATTGCACACTGAGGGCATCTGAAATTGGTAATTCTTTGCACCCTGTTGAACCACTCTGTAATGTTCTTTGTGTCCTAGTAAGAAAAACTGGGAGAAAAAATGTTTGAAGGCTTGCACTGGGTACAATTGCTGTGAGATGAGGCCGGACCCCTGCCCAGACCTACAGAAGAAATTACATCTCATGAAATACAAGGGGCATAACTTGATTCCCTTTGAATGGCTGTGTTCACAGCATCTGTTCTTGTAGCACAGCTCCTGTACCTCCTGTTGAAAATCACCTCGCAGACAGCAGTCACTGTCACGCTGACTCTCGGCGCACCTTTGGGATGCTGAGTCGGCAGGGTTACCCGCACTGGAACATCCACCCGGCTCCTCTCTCCAGGGCTAAACCTGTTCCTTGGTGTGTCCCTGCAGCGAAGGGCACTGGGATGAAGAAGGCTGGGGAGGTCAGCCCTCTCTAAATGAAGCACTCAGCATAACAGAGTACAGGAAAGTGCGAAGTAAACCACTATGGGATTTTTTTTTTTCTGAGTGTGGTGTCATTTGTTTTCTCAAGGACACTAAGTAGGAAGCTGGAGAAACAGAAACTTCCTCTCTGACGAGATTTATGGTAGGGATTTTGGCAATAAAATGGAAAAGTACGTTTGTTGATTTCTTTGGGTTTCTGCTGCCTGTGTGGGCCTAGCTGTGAGCTGAGGTCTGTGGCTCCTGGCTGCTGCCTGGCCCTGTGCTCGGGGGCTGTTCCCTGGGCCCCAGCACGTGCTAGTCTGTGCCTGGTCTGTCCATGGCTCAGCACTCCAATGTCCTCATCCAGTCAGCAGCATTTGTGTCTGCAGAGCACCCCTCGCAGCTGGCCCTCAGCTCTGTGTCTTCCGAGCCACAGGTAGCTTTCAAATCAGAGCCCCACAGCTTTTTGCAGGCTCCAAGAAGTTGGGTGAACAGGACTTCTTTGCCTGCAGCAGTGTCCTGCTAATTCTTGCCCATTCCCTCACCTCAGCAGCTCGTTATATCAGGACTGCCTGCCCTTGCTGCATGGTGTCCTGGGGGTACTGTCAGAGATGCTGCTGGAGAGGCATTTTGTGTGACCAGGACCTCTTGTTTCTTTCGCCCATGCTCCTGCCTGGCCCCCTCCTGCGTGGCGTGGTGAGCCAGACCTCCCGTGGGCTCTTGCTCTGCTGTGGTACATGGCACCACATTGTTAATGGTGGTTGTTAGTGTGTGCCCACCAGCAAATGGTAGGCTGGGGCATAGCGAGGACCAGACCAGACCTGGGGCTTTGGCCACCCCGAGTGCCTGAGGACTATCCATATGTGGTTGCACTTCCAGGGCTGGACCCTGGGTGGGTGTCACACCATGGTGCTGCAGGAGGCCAAGTGCCTTGGCAAGGTCACCAGGCTGGGGTGCAGCTCCTGCTCAGGTGGATGGGTGTGGGGTGAGATGGGGGAGCAAGGGACAGGGCCAAGCAGCAGCAGCAATGCTGGCAGCCTCGGCGAGGGCATGGTGTGTGCGTGAAGGGCTCAGGCAGCCCCCAGGACAGGGTGCCTTGTGTGGCTCCAGCTGCCATTTGGGAAGGGATGGCAGAGCCAACTCCCAGAGGGGGAATGGGACTTGCTTAAAAGGTGCCGAGCAGCTGCTGCTGGCAGCAGTGGTTTAGACTGGCAGCACATGGCTGTCTGCTGCGCCGTGGGGCCGGTGCAGAGCTGGTTGCTGCCTGAGCCATCTGTGTGAGCAGAGCTGGGGAGCCCTGGCCCAAAGGTTGCAGTGTCCTCAAGAAAATCCCAACTTCTGAGTGGCAAAGTGGTGGAAGTGATCCCACTGCCTGCTAGTACTGTGTGGTGAAATCTCCAGCACCCCTGCTGCTGGGCAAAGGAGGCTAATCAGGGTGCAGCAGAGAGGATGCTCCAGACTCCTGGCAGCGGGTGACAGCTTGATGTGCTGCCCCAACAGGACCTCACTGTCTCTTGGCAGATTCGAGGCTCTCCTTCTCCAAAGGCAGCTCTGTCTCCATCTTCTTGGCTCAGGGACCCATCAGGAGGGATTAGAGCTGCTGCCAGAGGGCTACAGTGGCACTGTGATGTGCAGGTGGGGCTGGGGAATAGTGCAGCTCTGGACAGTGAGGAGTTGGTGTCCTCTTGGGAAAGCTGTGGATTGCCACCTTCATGTTTGTTGTTGAGATTCTAAGATTGGCATGTTTGGGAAAAGTCCTTCTGGGGGTAATAGGATAGACCAGTCAGTTGGCAAGTGGTGGAACTGAATAGAGATGGACCAGCCAAAGAAAGAGCAGATGCTGGGGTCAGTAGTTTTCCTCAGCAAAGCCTTGCTAACATCTTTTTGCTTTGCTTTGGAGACAAGAAACATTTTGGCTTGGTACAATCTCACTTCTACCAGTTTCTCCCATCCCTTTCCATGAGCTGAGACATTTATTTCCAGGATGTTTTCTAGGTTTGCCCAGCTGTCTCTGTCCATGTTCTGTATTATATCTTTCAGCCTTGGTCACAGATTTTCTTGCCCTTCCTGTGCATTTGATTCTGAAATGTTGCCCCAAAATCCTGGGACACGGGAATGGATTATTAGATGCA